TTAAAAGGTAATCGATAATTGATGTGACGCAACAACTAAATAAAAAAAAAAAAAAAGAAAAACTCGTTCCAACAAGATCATGTGTAGTAAATAAACTGGCTATTAAATAATTTCTTGCTCCCATCTATGAATATCTAGTTACCATGAGATTACCGTATTTACCTATCATTTGTCAATCTTCAATTGCAGAATGGCAACCGGGAAATGAGCGTGTCGCCGAGCAAAGAGCAGCCGAGCCTCGAGATGGAAGGAACGCATCTCGAGGACAATAGCTTAAAAGTGTCGCCTGTGCAGAACGTTGCGAGGCAGGATTCAGGCGTCCCGGAGGATCTCGCGTCGCCGTTGGCCGACGCCGATAAGCTTCCCAACGAGGACCCGGATTCGACGATGAACAGCGACTGTAACATAACCGTGATCCACGTGACCGAATCCACGGAAGCGAATAAACCTGATCCGGCTCTGAACAGCGACAAGAAGGATTATACGGGCGAGGGGAAGGATAGCAAGGACGGAAGCGACAGTGGGGTGGAGGGTTGCGCCGCCGAGGTCCCGAGGGTGAGGATCGATCGAAACTGGTGGACGAGGAAAAAGTCCTTGCGCCACATTCGACGATTATTCAACGAGTTGATCAGAAAGGGTGTTAAAAAAAAAAATCGAAAGATCAAATTTCTGAGGTGGAATTTTGATCAGAAAGGGTGTTAAAAAAAAAATCGAAAGATCAAATTTCTGAGGTGGAATTTTAATCAGAAAGGGTGTTAAAAAAAAAATCGAAAGATCAAATTTCTGAAGTCGAATTTTGATCAGAAAGGGTGTTAAAAAAAAATCGAAAGATCAAATTTCTGAAGTCGAATTTTGATCAGAAAGGGTGTTAAGAAAAAAATCGAAAGATCAAATTTCTGAAGTCGAATTTTGATCAGAAAGGGTATTAAAAAAAAAATCGAAAGAACAAAATTCTTAAGTGGGATTTTGATCAGAAAGGGGGGTAAAAAAAAAAATCGAAAGAGCAAAGTGCTGAGGTGGAATTTTGATCCGAAAGGGTGTTAAAAAAAAAATCGAAAGATCAAATTTCTGAGGTGGAATTTTGATCAGAAAGGATGTTAAAAAAAAAATCGAAAGATCAAATTTGAGGTGGAATTTTGATCAGAAAGGGTGTTNAAAAAATCGAAAGATCAAATTTCTGAGCTGGAATTTTGATCAGAAAGGGTGTTAAAAAAAAAATCGAAAGATCAAATTTCTGAGCTGGAATTTTGACCCAATTTTTAATTATTGACCCATCAAGTCGTGGATAAATAATATCCTTTCTCGAAGGTCAAAAATTCACGTCCTTCTAACTTATGAAGAATGTTGATACAACTCAGCTCTCGTTGGATTTATAGTTATACAGCTATGTAGAATGACCCATTTCGGTCTGTAAATAGATTTCCCCCCAGAAAATACGTTGAATAGCTCGGAGCAATTTGAGAAGGCCATTAGTTTTTCATATATACGAATCTGAGATACTTCAATGTCGCCAAATTTTCCTACTACCTAATGGAAAGAAATTGTAATAATGGTCTTTACGATACAATTAATCCAAGTTGCGGAAAATGAGTTTACGATAAATAATCATAATCCAATTATTAACGAATCGTCATGCTTTCAGGTACGAAGTCGAAACAGCATCGATTACGCGAGCAGTTGTGGCGGCCTTGACGAGGCGTCCTGCGATTCCAGTCTAGTCAGCTGTTGCTCCGTATACGAGGACCCATGCGCAACTTTACCCGACGATGTCAGGTTGACCACTGGCGGAGAGGGTACCAGCGAGGGTGGCAGCGAAAGTTCCTCCATAGCGGGTAGCGTTTCCGCCCGTGCAAACCGAGCCAACGTTAAGAGAACTATACCCGCTTCTACCGTCGGTAAGAAGAAGACAACCGCGACAGAGACTCAGAAGAGCGCGAGGGTAAAGCCAGCACCGTTGGTTTCGGCCGCTACCCCACGCTCCAAGCCGCGTACCGCAACCCCAAGGAACATTCTGAGCAAAGCGCAGCCGGTGGCGAGGGGGGACAGAGCCCGATCCAGGGAAAAATCGGCGATCAGAGAGGGAAATAATGATAACACGGCAAGTAATAGTCGAGTTTCAACGGGATTCCGTTCAGGTGCGACCCAAATGCTGCCGCGAACGAGGACAAGACCTATTCCTGATTCACTGCCATCTATGCTCACCACAGAGATCAACAAGGATCTGGCACAGCGTGGCCGAGGTCAGAGCGGCAGCAGCTGCAGATCCAGAGGCGGGTCCAGCACGCGTGGTGCTCGAACTCCTAGCTCGACACCGTCCGAAGAGGTTCGAAAACCTCTGTCCACCGCTAGGGTATCGTACACGGGTCGTACGGAGACTGCGAAAGCTTCCTCCAGATCGGATAAGACGAGCATGAGCACGGATAATAAAGCTCTGGATACGTATGCCACGTTGCCTAGAAGGAACAGGAATAAGATGAGTATTGCCAAGGTCGGTGAGAAGGTGGACAAAAGCGTCAGAAGCAGATCTGGAAGTAGAGACGCGAGTTTAAATAGACAGGTTGAAAAGAAGAGTAACGCCAAAGAGAATTCGACACACAAAAGTCTGCCACCCTATCCGAGGCACAAGATTGCCGAGAAGACGCGTATTTATCATGAAACCAGCGTGCAAACTGGTCTTACCGGTCATGACATCGAGAATGCTTTGTCTGGAGTGCCAAGTGTTGTCACCGGGCCGGAAGTGGTCGAGAGGTTACACGAGGGATGTCAAACGGAGGGCACGTGGGAGGATATGCAAGCGATGCAGAGTGACTTGAAACGGTTGAACGAAGAGACGATGCAACAAAAGGAGGAGAACGAGAAGCTGAAGGCTGAAATTGTCGAGGTGAACCGTCTCCTTAAAGAGGAACAGGCGGATCATGCGTTCGCGCGGCAAGAATTGGATAGAAATGCACAACGAGTATTGGCGATGCTTGGAACTCCACAATCGGAGCATGCAGGTGGTTATTGGAGCATTTGATTTAATATTTTCCATTTTCCTTTGATTGTTTGTTCATTTTTTTTAAAGTGAATAATTTTTGGTTGATTTTAGAAGGGAGTGACAGCTTTTTGGAGTTGGAGTGTCATTTGCAATCGTCTGGACAAGTTGTAGCAAATCAACAGTTAGAGATAGCTGATTTACAATCTTTGTGCCGTATGTTGAGTAGAGTAAGTTGTATTATATTTTTTATTTTTGTGTTCTCTTTAAATTTTATATTTGTTAGTTGTATTGTAATGTATATCGTTAGTTACATATATTATAATCATTTGTAAAGGATTTGGAGAAAAGTTTGGCTGCTCAGAAAGCGTTGCTACAACAACAACAAGAATTGGAGGCAGAATCGGCTGAGATGCAAGATTTCCTACAAGAAGAAAAAGCCACTTTAGCGGATGCTTTAAAAGAGGCTGAAACAGAGGTATTTCTTATTTATTAATAAATGGAAAGATATATAATGATCAAAAAATTTTTTCTAATGTACAGCTTGCAAAAAAAGAAGAACTACTAACGAAACGCGAATTAGAATTAGAAAGACAAACCGAAGAATGTAAGCATTTAGTACGAATTAGCGAACAACGAAGGTAAATATTAAAAAAAAAAAAAAAAAAAAAAAAAAAAAATTAATCTTGAAAATTTTCTTTATATAATATAATATTTGTATTTTTATTCATATTGATTTTTTATTTATTCATAGACAAGAAAATTTATCTATGAGCATGAAATTAAATGCAGTCGAACGACGAAGCAGGGAACTTTTACTCACACAAGGAGCTGCCGTTTCCGGAGCTGCGGTTGCGCTTTCCGGTCTTGGAACTAGGCTAGAAGGATTAGTAGACCAATTGATAACATCGTATAGTATCTCAGTAAAAGATCTTGAAGTAATATAATATTCCATTATTTTTCATCATATATTTTTCAATTCGATCGTTTAATGATATTTAAATATCGTTTTCATTTGTAGGATGTGATATATCACAATGAAGCATATAGCAGGAGCAACAGTAGTGTCGAATCGAGTCCAGTTAGCTCTAAGCATAGCCTGAAAGAGTGTACACCCAGTCCGAAGAGTGGATCTTTCGTTTCCGCAGTGATTGGAGCAATCCGGAATGCGGCAACACATCCTTTTGCAACGAAAAACACTGATAAAAAATCTTCTTTAGAATCAGCTAAACAAATATATAAAGGTATATATATATATATATATATATTATACTATTTATCAATGAACAGAGAAAAGTCATTTGATTAATCGAGAAAATCATCTTTCTATTATAAATACATTTCTTTCTATTATCAATTCCATTATCATTTAGAATTAAGTATGGAATCATCGTCTGATTTGCTCGATTTTGAAACCGAGCCATGCCTGATGATGGAAAGTGTGTTAGAGGATGTTCCCTTACCCGATACGTACTCGCATAATATGGTGTCGAGTAGTGATTCACTTCGCAGAGCTTTAAGCTTTCCGGAAACCGTAGACGAAGGTAATCTAAAAAAGACGCGTACCAATGAGGAGTGTTCAAGTCTTACGAATCTCACCCAAGCAATTTTACATCGTCGTAAGGTAGAAAATATAAAAATATTGGAAATATTTTTGTGAAATAAAAAGAAATAAATAATTGAAAAGAAAATCATTATAATTTGCATAATTTTCTTTCTAGGTTGAAAATGAGGAAGATGATGATTGCGATTCTATCAGCGAATCTGATACCGGTACGAATGATGGTCCGTTAGCTTCGGATTATTGTCCGGCTGTTAGTCTTGTTGATCAAGTTATTGATGTAGATAATCTTGTTACAAAATTACTAAAAGTATTGCGAATAATACAGCTCGATAATGATACATGCATACAGGAGCTGAAAGAAGAGAAGTAATTTTATATCTTCTTGTTTTACAGCAAATCACAAATATAAAGCAATGTACAATACATGTAGTGATTTGCAGGTCTGAGTTAGAAACGAAATTGGAAGTGACTGTAACGGAGTTGGAAGAATTGCGTAAAATTGTGGACAACTTGCATCAATCGGACGAAATTCTAAGCAACAGTTCGGACAGGAGACGTAGCGTGATGGAAAACTGTCGTTTGCTGATCAAAGAGGTAATAGCTGGTGATGTAACCGATACATATCTATGAAATGTTTCTGGTGCCGTTTTAAGACTTGTTTAATCAGCGATTGACTTTTTAAAAAAGATGTCAAATGGAATAATTCCTCTATAGGCGGGTAAGGAGGAATTAAAATTTGACGAGCCCGCAGTTGGTAATAATAGTGATCCTGGAGGAGCTACAAATTGTGAAGATCTCAACGCGAACATAGCCGCTCAACCATCTTCCTAAACACATTTCCTTTTTATTTTTTTATTTTTTTTTTTATTTTTTTCTTCTCCTTTCGTTGTTATCATCTTTTATCTTTGACGATGTAAATCATTATTGATTTTATTTGTTTTCATAATCATTCGTTGTTGATGCCAAAATAAGAGCCACGTTGAAAATCGCTCTAATGCGTGTCACCTGAAAGAATCGAGTTTAATTGATGCTCGATAGTATGTATATTCATATTAATTAGTGTTTTTTGTTCGACGATCGTGTCAAGATGATTAGATGATATCGTAGATCATAAACTATAGGCATTTTGCGTGTGTCGAAGTCATGTACAGCTTTCTCCGTGCCGTCATATTACGAAAGATATTCATGCGTATTGCTTTAGTATATTTTAACGTTAAAAGACTTATAATCTGTGTACATAACAATAAATTTCTCCTCATAATTTCAAAATTGGATTACGTAGTTAATAATTCATGATTCGATATTTTAATATATAACTTAGGCAACTTTCACAAAAATCATAATTTAAATATGTCCTTGAATCATTATCATTCGTTTTAATAGTTAACTATCTCACATTATACAATATTAAACGCGATTAATCGCGATAAAAAAATATATATAAAGGAATTCCTTGAGAATAATTAATTGCATTGATAAATGAATTTCCTTTTTCATGCCCACCGAATTCCATTTTATCACATTTATATGTTATTAACAAATCTTTTTTTAAGAGTATTAATCCACGTATAGAAAGGAATGCGGATAGATTGTAATGTATCTTAAAACTCCTTTTATTGCAGTTCACTTCCTCGTTTGAATATTGGTAATAAAAGTACGAACAATGTTTGATCTTTAAACGTGAAATAACAACAGGGTACATTAGTTTTATATTACATAGCAAGGATTTGCGGTCATTTAATTAAATATTGGTGAATATGAATCAAATGAAATGAAATGTTATATTATTCATAATTGTTTGATTCATCATTTGTCAATATTTAAATATCCTTGCTATCTTAA